TTACACTACCGTCCTGTCAAGCGAGTGTAAAACGGAAGCCTGTAATTGTTTAACATGATGGTAGGATTGCTGGTGTCTTTTTTGTCTCATAAACATGCAAGGTTTCAGGTACATCTTGCTACTTCTACTTACACTTAGGTCACACTACACATGCATGTACAAGCATATATATACACATCCCTCTGGGTTTTCTTCTGTTTTTCTTACTAGTTCTTGTTCTTATTTATCTTCTCCTAGCTCCATGGGGAAGTAGAACAGAATTCTTCCTCCGTAAGCCATGCATGTCGTAAGAGGCGACTAAAATGCCAGGAGCAAGGGGCTAGTAACCCCTTCTCCTGTATATATTACTAAATGTGAAAGGAGAAACTTTTGTTTTTCCTTTTGGGCCACCCAACCTCGGTGGGATACGGCCAGTGTGTTGAAAGAAAAGAAAGAAAAAGAGATACAGTGGACCCCCTCATAACGATTACCTCCGAATGCGACCAATTATGTAAGTGTAATTATGTAAGTGCGTTTGTACGTGTATGTTTGGGGGTCTGAAATGGACTAATCTACTTCACAATATTCCTTATGGGAACAAATTCGGTCAGTACTGGCACCTGAACATACTTCTGGAGTGAAAAAATATCGTTAACCGGGGGTCCACTGTACTTTTGTTTTGCTTTTTGGGCCACCCTGCCAAGGGGGGATATGGCCAATTTGTTGTACAGTAAGGAGTCATTCACAACACTGTACACTGTGTATGTCAGGTCCATACTGGAGTATGCAGCACCAGTATGGAACCCACATTTGGTCAAACATGTCAAGAAATTATATAAAATACATATAGTCGGACTCGAGTCCTGGAAATGGGAAGTACAATGCCTGCACTTTAAAGGAGGGGTTTGGGATATTGGCAGTTTGGAGGGATATGTTGTGTATCTTTATATGTGTATGCTTCTAAACTGTTGTATTCTGAGCACCTCTGCAAAAACAGTGATAATGTGTGAGTGTGGTGAAAGTGTTGAATGATGATGAAAGTATTTTCTTTTTGGGGATTTTCTTTCTTTTTTGGGTCACCCTGCCTCGGTGGGAGACGGCCGACTTGTTGGAAAAAAAACAAAACAAAAAAAAAAAGGTTTGCAACAAGGCTAGTCCTGGAGCTAAGGGGTATGTCCTACGAGGAGAGAACTCAGCCTGACGACACTAGAGGAAAAAAGAACTGTGGGGAGGTCATAACAATGTACAAAGTACTGAGAATTGACCAGGACAATATGTTTGAGAATGAGGAATGAGGAATATGAAGACACAGCTAGAAGTTAAAAACACAGATGAGTCACTGGGATATTAGGAAGTATTTCTTCAGACATGTCAGGAAGTGGAACAATGTGGAGATTGGAGTGGTAGAAGCAGGATCCATACATAGCTTTAAGAAGAATTACGATAAAGTTCAAGGAGCAGGGAGAGTGTTGACCTAGTAGCAACCAGGGAAGCAACAGGCCCAGGAGCTCTGAATTGACCCCTGCAACCACAAATAGGTGAGTACACACACACACACACACACACACACAGGAGGACCAAAGGGACAGGGAGACATGATAACAACATATAAAATACTGAGAGGAATTGACAAGGTGGATAGGAACAGGATGTTTCAGAGATGGGACACAGCAACAAGGGGACACAATTGGAAGTTGAAAACTCAAATGAGTCACAGGGATGTTAGGAAGTATTTTTTCAGTCATAGAGTAGGCAGGAAGTGGAACAATATGGAGAGTGATGTAGTGGAGGCAGGGCCCATACATAGTTTTATGAAGAGGTATGATAAAGCTCATGGAACAGCAAAGAGGGAGGGCCAGGAGCTGTGACTTGATACCTGCAACCAATTAGGCGAGCACTCATGCACGCACACATGCACACGCACACTCGCTTGGACGCTTGGACTCGACTCCTGCAACCTCAACTAGGTGAGTACACACACACTGCTGATCAAAAACCGATGGAATTTTGATGAGCTGGAGAGAGGAGACAGTGGAGAAGCAAGTGACTACATAGCAGGAATGCTTCAGTCTGGAGGTCCCAAGGTGGTAATTGCAGTGATGTATAATCCACCACAGAACAGCAGGAAGCCAAGGCAAGAGTATGATGAGAGCAATAGAGCGATGGTTGACACACTGGCTGCAGTGGCCAGAAGGGCTCATGTGTGCAGGGCAAAGCTACTGATCATGGGTGACTTTAACCACAAGGAAATCGATTGGGAGAATTTGGAGCCACATGGGGGCCAAGATACATGGAGGGCTAAGATGATGGAGGTGATACTGGAAAACTTCATGTACCAACACGTATGGGACACTACAAGAGAGAGAGGTGAGGATGAACCAGCAAGACTGGACCTAGTATTCACCTTGAGTAGTGCAGATATTGAGGACATCACATTTGAAAGACCCCTTGGATCCAGCGATCATGTGGTTTTAAGCTTCGAATACACAGTAGAGCTACAAGTGGAGGGGAAAGCAGGAAGGCCCGGGTGAATGAAGCGAAACTACAAGAAAGGGGACTACACGGGAATGAGGAACTTCCTGAACAGGGTTCAGTGGGACAGAGAACTGGCAGGGAAGCCAGTAAATGAGATGATGAAATATGTAACAACAATATGCAAGGAAGCTGAGGATAGGTTTGTGCCCAAGGGTAACAGGAATAATGAAAAAGCCAGGATGAGCCCATGGTTCACCCAAAGGTGCAGGGAGGCAAAAACCAAGTGTGCTAGGGAAGGGAAGAAGTATAGTAGGCAGAGGACCCAGGAGAATAAGGAGAGCAGTCGTAGAGCCAGAAATGAATATGCACAGATGAGAAGGGAGGCCCAACGACAATATGAAAATGACATAGCAGCGAAAGCCAAGTCTGACCCGAAGCTGTTATACAGCCACATCAGGAGGAAAACAACAGTCAAGAACCAGGTAATCAGGCTAAGGAAGGAAGGAGGAGAGACAACAAGAAACGACCGTGAAGTATGTGAGGAACTCAACATGAGATTCAAAGAAGTGTTCACAGAGGAGACAGAAGGGGCTCCAGAAAGACAGAGAGGTGGGGTACACCACTAAGTGCTGGACATGGTACACACAACCGAGGAAGAAGTGAAGAGGCTTCTGAGTGAGCTAGATACCTCAAAGGCAATGGGCCCGGATAACATCTCTCCATGGGTCCTGAGAGAGGGAGCAGAGGCACTATGTGTACTCCTAACAACAATATTCAACACATATATCGAAACAGGGAGATTGCCTGAGGCATGGAAGACAGCAAATGTAGTCCCAATTTTTAAAAAAGGAGACAGACATGAAGCACTAAACTACAGACCAGTGTCACTGACATGTATAGTATGCAAAGTCATGGAGAAGATTATCAGGAGAAGAGTGGTGGAACACCTAGAAAGGAATGATCTCATCAACAGCAGCCAACATGGTTTCAGGGACAGTAAATCCTGTGTCACAAACCTACTGGAGTTTTATAACAGGGTGACAGCAGTAAGACAAGAGAAAGAGGGGTGGGTAGATTGCATTTTCTTGGACTGTAAGAAGGCATTTGACACAGTTCCACACAAGAGATTAGTGCAAAAACTGGAGGACCAGGCAGGGATAACAGGGAAGGCACTACAATGGATCAGGGAATAATTGTCAGGAAGACAGCAGCGAGTAATGGTACGTGGCGAGGTGTCAGAGTGGGCGCCTGTGACCAACGGGGTCCCACAGGGGTCAGTCCAAGGACCAGTGTTGTTTCTGGTATTTGTGAACGACATGACGGAAGGAATAGACTCCGAAGTGTCCCTGTTTGCAGATGACGTAAAGTTGATGAGAAGAATTCATTCGGTCGAGGACCAGGCAGAACTACAAAGGGATCTGGACAGGTTGCAGACCTAGTCCAGCAATTGGATCCTGGAGTTCAACCCCACCAAGTGCAAAGTCATGAAGATTGGGGAAGGGTAAAGAAGACCTCAGACGGAGTACAGTCTAGGGGGCCAGAGACTACAAACCTCACTCAAGGAAAAAGATCTTGGGGTGAGCATAACACCAGGCACATCTCCTGGGGCACACATCAACCAAATAGCTGCTGCTGCATATGGGCACCTAGCAAACCTCAGAACAGCATTCCAACATATTAATAAGGAATCATTCAGGACCCTGTACACCGTGTACGTTAGGCCCATATTGGAGTATGCGGCACCAGTTTGGAATCCACACCTAGCCAAGCACCTAAAGAAACTAGAGAAAGTGCAAAGGTTTGCAACAACACTATTCCCAGAGCTAAGGGGTACGTCCTACAAGGAGAGGTTAAGGGAAATTGACCTGATGACACTGGAGGACAGGAGAGATAGGGGGGACACGATAACGACATACAAAACACTGAGAGGAATTGACAAGGTGGACAAAGACAGGATGTTCCAGAGATGGGACCCAGCAACAAGGGGACACAGTTGGAAGTTGAAGACACAGATCAATCACAGGGATGTTAGGAAGTATTTCTTCAGCCACAGAGTAGTCAGGAAGTGGAATAGTTTGGAAAGTGATGTAGTGGAGGCAGGATCCATACATAGCTTTAAGCAGAGGTATGATAAAGCTAACGGTTCAGGCAGAGTGACCTAGTAGCGACCAGTGAAGAGGCGGGGCCAGGAGCTGGGACTCGACCCCTGCAACCTCAACTAGGTGAGGACAACTAGGTGAGTGTACACGTACACACACGCACCAATTAACTATTACTAACTAATTTATGCACCACACACCTCATTGTGCTTAATAAATAAATAAAAATTAAATAAAAACTAAATTGGAAAATAAAGTCTTGGGATAAAATATTTCACATTTCAATTGAAAGTCTTGATGACGACATAGTCTGAAGGCGAAACATGACTTACAACCTATTGCATGGGAGGAAAGGTAGTCCAGGAAGCAGTCAAAAGGTATAGCATGTAAAACAACTTCAATTTACATTTTTTTGTGAGAAATATGTGTTAAAAAGTGATGTCTTACCAGTTCTGTAGCATTACAGATAACCTCACAGTTTGGTGGGGAGGCGTGACAAGTGAGGCCGGTGTACTGAGTACTAACTGTACTGAACTCTTGCTGTGGGTAATAGCACATCACCCTTCCACTCTCACTCTGGCGATGAGTAGCTTCCAAGGTTCTGTTGAATTCTAATGTTATCTGTAAGACAGAGGTAACAATGATAGTAATGTAATCTTTGAATTCAGCTAGCATTGCACCTAATGTTATCTGCAAGCCAAAAGTAACAATGATAGTAATCTTCTGAATTCACTAGCATTATAACTAATGTTATCTGCAAAACAGAATTTATAATGATGATGGTAATCTTAATTCTAATGTCATCTTTAGTTACAAGGTCACTTTAGTATTATCTCAGAATACTGTTCTATATATTTTTTTTGCAGGTTAATAAATTTGTTAAAATAATTCCAGCACTGACCCGGTCGTTGTTGAATGTTCTGTATTCGTGGTTGCCCGAGCCTGTGCGGAAACACATAAGAGGAGCAGTGTCGCTGATCACGACTCTGTCGACTTTAACTACCTCATCTTCTGTTGCATTCTCTTTTGTACTGGTCTCCTCCCGACACACAAGGCGGCAATCCTTCACCCTGCGTATTGCAGAAGTTATACATGTGCTAACAAACAGAAATATCACTGTTAGTGGCAGATTTGTGGCTGCATATACAGGTGCTCAAGTTACAATGGGGTTATGTTGTGATAAACTTATCGTAAGTCGAATATGAATGTGATATGATAAATAAATAAGTGTATAAATAACTACTATCACTGAATAAGTACATGAATAAATAATTACTGCAACTAACTAAATACCTGCACCGAAAAGTAAATAAACGAATACAAGTTACGAACTTGCCACCTTTATGATGGGTAATTATCTTAAGTTTCATCGCCAAAGTAATTGTTTCTGCATCATCATAAAGTCGAAATATCCTAAGTCGAACCATCATAAGATTAGGAGAACTTGTACATTGAGTCTACAGTATTTAACCCGTAAACAGTCCAAACGCATATATACGTTTTTACTGCTTAATCCCCAATATATATATATATATATAAAATATATATATATATATATATAATATATATATATATATATATATTTATATATATATATATATATATATATATATATTATATATTTTTTTTTTTTATTATCACACCGGCCGATTCCCACCAAGGCAGGGTGGCCCGAAAAAGAAAAACTTTCACCATCATTCACTCCATCACTGTCTTTGCCAGAAGGGTGCTTTACACTACAGTTTTTAAACTGCAACATTAACACCCCTCCTTCAGAGTGCAGGCACTGTACTTCCCATCTCCAGGACTCAAGTCCGGCCTGCCGGTTTCCCTGAATCCCTTCATAAATGTTACTTTGCTCACACTCCAACAGCACGTCAAGTATTAAAAACCATTTGTCTCCATTCACTCCTATCAAACACGCTCACGCATGCCTGCTGGAAGTCCAAGCCCCTCGCACACAAAACCTCCTTTACCCCCTCCCTCCAACCCTTCCTAGGCCGACCCCTACCCGCCTTCCTTCCACTACAGACTGATACACTCTTGAAGTCATTCTGTTTCGCTCCATTCTCTCTACATGTCCGAACCACCTCAACAACCCTTCCTCAGCCCTCTGGACAACAGTTTTGGTAATCCCGCACCTCCTCCTAACTTCCAAACTACGAATTCTCTGCATTATATTCACACCACACATTGCCCTCAGACATGACATCTCCACTGCCTCCAGCCTTCTCCTCGCTGCAAACATTCATCACCCACGCTTCACACCCATATAAGAGCGTTGGTAAAACTATACTCTCATACATTCCCCTCTTTGCCTCCAAGGACAAAGTTCTTTGTCTCCACAGACTCCTAAGTGCACCACTCACTCTTTTTCCCTCATCAATTCTATGATTCACCTCATCTTTCATAGACCCATCCGCTGACACGTCCACATCCCAAATATCTGAATACGTTCACCTCCTCCATACTCTCTCCCTCCAATCTGATATTCAATCTTTCATCACCTAATCTTTTTGTTATCCTCATAACCTTACTCTTTCCTGTATTCACCTTTAATTTTCTTCTTTTGCACACCCTACCAAATTCATCCACCAATCTCTGCAACTTCTCTTCAGAATCTCCCAAGAGCACAGTGTCATCAGCAAAGAGCAGCTGTGACAACTCCCACTTTGTGTGTGATTCTTTATCTTTTAACTCCACGCCTCTTGCCAAGACCCTCGCATTTACTTCTCTTACAAACCCCATCTATAAATATATTAAACAACCACGGTGACATCACACATCCTTGTCTAAGGCCTACTTTTACTGGGAAAAAATTTCCCTCTTTCCTACATACTCTAACTTGAGCCTCACTATCCTCGTAAAAACTCTTCACTGCTTTCAGTAACCTACCTCCTACACCATACACTTGCAACATCTGCCACATTGCCCCCTATCCACCCTGTCATACGCCTTTTCCAAATCCATAAATGCCACAAAGACCTCTTTAGCCTTATCTAAATACTGTTCACTTATATGTTTCACTGTAAACCCCTGGTCCCCACCCCCCCTACCTTTCCTAAAGCCTCCTTGTTCTCTGCATCCTATTCTCCGTCTTACTTTTAATTTTTCAATTATAACTCTACCATCCCTTTTTTACCAGTAACTCAACGACTTATCCCCCTTAATTTTTCACTTCTTTTATCCCTTTGCCTTTATACAAAGGAACTATGTGCTCTTGAAACCCCAGGTACCTTACCTCTTCCATACATTTTTTAAAACAATTGCACCAACCACCCCAAAAACTATACCCCACCTGTTTTAAAACTTTCTATTTTATCCACAACCCCGGTCCCTTCCCCCTTTCATTTTCCCTACTCCCCAAAATTTCCCCCCACCTCACAATGGCTCTTCCTCACTCCTAAAAGATGTTTTTCCTCCTTGCCCTTTACCGAAATCACAGTTTCCCCCTTCTTCATAACATTTAAAAATTCCCAAAAAATTTCCCCTCCATTTTCCCCAAAACCTCTAACTTCCATTTAAAACTCCCTCTCCTATTTTTAACTGAAAAATCCTTTGTTTCTAGGCTTTTTTTAACTTTTTAATCTCCTCCCAAAAAATTTTTCTTTTTTCAACAAAATTTTTTGTAAATCTCCCCCACCTCTCATTTGCTCTCTTTTTACTTTTGCTTCCCCACTCTTTAACCCTCTCTTTTTTTCTCCTTTACTTTCCCCCTCCTTGCATCATTTTACTTTGAAAAAAATTTTCCTTTTGTAATTTTTTCTCCCTTTACTCTCTCTTTACATCATCATTCCCCCAATCGTCCTTTTCCCTCTACCCATTTTCCCTGTAACCAAAATCTGCTAAAACACTCTAAACACACTTTTAAACCCTACCCCATCCTCTTGACCCCATTCCTTTGCTCTCTTTAGCCCATCTATCCTCCTAGCTGTTTATTCTTCCCCTAACTGCCTCCCTTTTAGTTTAAAAAACCCTTTACCTCTTCTTCCCCGATGCTTCTATTCTCCTTGTATCCCATCTACCCTTTTTCTCTCAGTGTAGCAAACTAGAAAGTGATTGTATTCTGTGGCCCCTCTAAAAACTGTACATCCTGAAGTCTCTCAACAGTCTTTTATCTACCAAACATAAACCCAAAAAACTACTGTCATTTCGCCCTACATCAATCGTGTTACTTATTTATCCTCTTTTTCTTAAAATATGTATTACCTTTTCTAAACCTTTTATCAAAGTTTAATCAAAAGGGGTCCCTTATCTTTTTCACCCGGGCCCCCCCAAAATTCCACCCCCACCCTCTTAAAAGTTTTTTTTACTTTGCATTTAAGTCCCCTCCAAATTACTCTCTCACTTGGGGTTCAAAGGGTCCTTACATTCACTTAACATCTCCCAAAATCTCTCTTCCCCTCTGCATTCCTCTCTTCTCAGGTGCATACCGCTTTTTTAGCCCACTTCTCGCATCCAACCCTTTTCTTTAAACCCCATAATTTTTGAATTTACACATTCTATTTTTTTTTTCCCTTCCTAACGATATTTAAAATTCTGCTACCCCTTCCCTTTGCTCTACTCTCTCAGATACTCCAGATTTAATCCCCTTTATTTCCCCCCCCTGAAACTCTCCCACCCCCTTCGCTTTGTTTGTTAGGGCCCGGACATCCAACTTCTTTTTCATTTATAACATCAGCAATCATCTGTTTCTTGTCTCCGCCCACATCCACGCCATTTAAACAACCCCCAAAAATTTCCTGTTTTTCGAGGGGGTAGAATACAACAGTTTAGAAGTTATACTTAAAAAATACACAAAATATCCTCCAAAATGCCAAACCCCAAACCCCTCCTTTAAAGTGCAGGCTCGATTTCCCCCATTTCCGGGCCAAAAGTCCGACTATATGAAAATAACCGGTTTCCCTAAACCCTTCACAAAATTTTAACCCGCCACCCCCAACAGATTGTATAATAACTGTAAGTATATGAATTTCAGTATATATACGTTAATACATGTATAGAGTGATTTGGGTGCACTTAGGATCTGTGGAGACAAAGAACTTTTCCTTTGGGAGGCAAAAGGGGGGAATGATGAGTATATTTTTTACCAACCTCTTATTGGGTGTAAAGCGTGGTGATAAATTTGCAGCGAGGAGAAGGTGGAGGAGTGGAGATGTCATTCGAGGGCAATGTGTGGTGTGAATAAAATCGAGAATTCGATTTTGGAATTGGAGGAGGGCGGGATTCCCAAAAACTGTTGTCCAGAGGGCTGAAAAGGGGTTGTTGGGTGGTTGGACATTAGAGAAAGGGAGCGAAACGAATGCTTCAAAGTGATCAGTCTGTAGGGGAAGGGAAAGGCGGGGTGGGGTGGGCCTATAAAGGGGTTGGGAAAGGGAGGGGGTTTAAAGGGGTTTTGTGGCGGGGGTTTGGGATTTCCCCGGGCATGGGAGCGTGTTTGATAGGAGTGAATGGAGACAAATGGTTTTTAATATTTGGGACGTGCTGTTGGGGGTGTGAGAAAAGTAACATTATGAAGGGATTCAGGGAAACCGGCAGGCCGGACTTGAGTCCTGGAGATGGGAAGTACAGTGCCTGCACTCTAAGGAGGGGTGTTTAATGTTGCAGTTTAAAAACTGTAGTGTAAAGCACCCTTCTGGCAAGACATTTGATGGAGTGAATGATGGTGAAAGTTTTTCTTTTTGGGGCCACCCTGCCTTGGGGGGAAATCGGCCGGTTTTGTTAATAAAAAAAAAAAAAAAAAAATAATTTATATATATATTATATTTATATATATAATATATATATATATATATATATATATATATATATATTATTATATATAAATATATATATAAATATATATATAAATATATATATATATATATACATGTATATATACATATACATATACAGTATATATATACAATCTGTTGGAGTGTGAGCAGGGTAATATTTAGTGAAGGGATTCAGGGAAACCGGTTATTTTCATATAGTGGGACTTGAGTCCTGGAAATGGGAAGTACGATGCCTGCACTTTAAAGGAGGGGTTTGGGATATTGGCAGTTTGGAGGGATATGTTGTGTATCTT